GGGGGGGGCAAAAGGGATCTTCCTCCTTCCGGCACAAGTCCTTTCGGCCTGCCCCGGAGGAGACGGCGGCCTGATAGCCGAGCCACTGCCAAGAGCCACCCGGGCGTGGCTCCGGCACTGTCCGCTGCTGAGCAGCGTCATTGTCCCCTCCCCTGCCCTCCCCTCCCCTCCCCTCCGCCTGTTGGTCTTCCTGTGTTTTCTCCCCCATGCTTGCCATCGGTCTGGGTATTCTACGACCGCTGCAGGTCCCCATCGTGCGCCTGGCTCCCCTGGCCGCGGGGGCAGCTGCCAGCCGTGCCATTTGGACATGTCCGGCCGGCTCGCCGGCACGGCCTGCTCCTTTGGATGGTGCACGCTTTTCCTCATCCATGCCGGGCACTGCCCCGACTCGGCGCACCAAGTCCCCCGAGCCCACCATCCGGGCGCCGCCGCCACCTCGTAGCCCTCCGCCACCCCGCAGCCAGGTTCCCCCGCTGCCGGAAGTGCCGCTGGGCCTCCCGGCCGATAGTCCCTACCTGTCGGACTCGGATGGGGCATACTACTCCGACTCGGCGGACTTGGATTACTATGCCGATCGGCCGACCGACCTGCCCGAGGCCGCGTATCCCGACACCGGGCCCGACGCCTTTTACTCGGCCCCCGGCTCGTACCGCTCCTCGAGCGGGAGACACTAAACCTCCTTGCTTCCTTCCATCTGCTGTTGTCTTCCCCCCGCATGCGTGTGCGCCTCTTCGCGCCCTCACTCCTGCGAATGGTGTGCATATCTATTTTTATGTTGGTGGGTGGGTGGGTGGGTGCGTATACGCGCGCGTTTGGGTGACGCGCGCGCGGGCGAATGTGTGTCCGGATCTCTCCCCGAGGATCAGGCCGTTCGCATCTCTGCTCGGCCCCCTCTCCGGACTTGGTCCGGGGTGGCCGGCACACGGGGTCGAGCGCCTGCGGCCCGACGAATGCCGGGACATCTGCCGCGCGCAGTCCTTTCGGCTCGCCGGCGGCGGCGAGATCTCCTCGGTCGGCTGGTCGGCTGTGGCCGCTGGCAAGAAGGCCCTCCAGGACCTGGGGAGCGGCGGACTCTGCGCTTTCCAGACACAAAGCCCGAGAGAGAGAGCGAGAGCGAGAGAGAGAGAGAGAGAGAGAGAGAGAGAGAGAGAGAGAGAGAGAGAGAGAGAGACACACACACATACAAGCCCTTGGCGCGTACGTTGGCCCATTGCCCGGGCGCCCCCTCTGATGTGCCAACGGTCGGCGCGGGACGCGATTCAGGATACAAATGGGCCGGGAACCCTCGCGCGTCGGTCGCGGTGGCCGGGCCTCGACGGTGGTGCGCGACGCCGGGCGCTGGAGCGGTTGCCAGCCGCGCGTTTCCCCCCGGCCCCTCCCCGGCCGCGGGCGTCCCCTTCAGGTGCATCCCTTCCTTGATTGTCCAGGAATGGGACGTCGCGCATACGCCGCCGGCACATTCTAGCTTGTGTGGAAGGGTTGTCGGCGTCCCCCTCCGCCGGGGGGGGGGGGGGGGGGGGGGGGCGGGTGCCGGCGGGGAGCCGGGAAGCTGCACTTTTCTGGGGCTCCCGGCACTGGGGTACAGTCGAATGTGAGCTCCAAGGACTCCCTCCACCTCCCCTCCCCTTGCCGGCCCTCGCTCTCCTGCCCCCCTCTCGCGCTCGCCGCCCCTGCTCTCCG